AAAACAAAACAAGATTTTATCAAAAAAACTCTAATTCTTTTGTTGTACCAAATTTAATGATTAACTTTCATTAAATTTGGAGTGTAAGAGCGATATTGAAACAAAATGGGACACTTAAATGCCTATAAATAGATCAATAACAGACAAATGGTGCAATGCATTAGAATAGTGGAAAAATAAGAATGATATATTTCCTTTAAGTTAGTTCTTCATGCCCATTTCCTCTATAACCACTGAAAGAGTCTTCTCACCAAGCGGGCAAATTGTTACAATTAAACGAACATAACTTTAACTCAAGTCTGTTGACAAGTTGATTTACATTCAGCAGAACTTCGATCAGGTGAAACTCATTAATAAAAAAAAAAAAAAATTTACAAAAAATAATAAAACAAATCGTAATTTTGGGTATATTCATCTACATCTTGATACCTTGGCAACGAGTAGATGTGTGAGTTTTGCTAGTTTTATTAAAAATTACGACATTTTCCGTGAGTATATCTTTGCCATGAACTTTAACTTTTTGGCAGCTAAAGGACTTAAAGGACCTTACCATCAACTAGACGTTTGCCTAAACCAGTTATATCTACGGATCGACCATTCGCCCAAAAACCAGTTGGTATAGTTTGTACTAGGACGTGAGTGTTTCGAATAAATTTTTGAGTGACCACAAGAGTTCAGTTTTTAATGATTTAAGTTTTTAGAAATTCTGAAACATTGCTACAAATTCAAAATAACAATTTTTGCAATTGTTGTAATTACAAAAATTGTCGTAGGTATTGTAAAGGAGGTTTTTTTTGCTAAGGCTTCAAAAAATTTCTCCACACTTCAATTAAGGTCTCCATAACGACACAACAATACTGGATACTTGAAGATAAAGGTTTAAATATACCTAGATTAATGTGTCTAGATTCATTTTCATTCTCTGGAACCACAACGCTGGCACAACCTTAGGCCATATAACTAAAATATTACAAATTTTAAATATTTTAAAAACCTAAAGTAAGACTAAAAGGTTTTAGTATGTGTTTTTTTTCGGCTGCTGACTACCTTAAAATACCTAATTAATGAATTGTATAATCATAATCATCATAAAAGTTATCATAAATCATAATTATCATCCTCAAAGAGTTCAAAAATTATTATAAAGAACTCTACGCAAGCGAAAAATGCGTCGAAAAAAATCATAACTTTCTCTTTTCCAAAACATCCTCTTTTCAAAAAATACCCAAAACTTTAAGTAAAAAACAAGAACTGCCAATAACAATTATAGAAATTAAAAACGCGCTAAAAACAATGCATAATAAAAAATCACGCGGAAGCGACGGCCTCACTATCGAATTTTACAAGCAAAATATTTATTTGTTTGGGGAATTTCTGGCTGCAGCTATTAACGAAACATTTAGTAGCGGTGAAATGAGCGAAAGCCAAAAAAAAGGCAATAATCATATGTATATCATACAGGTCGAAATTTTTTCAAGATACGTAAGAGCAAATAAACACATAAAAGGAATAACAGTAAACCAAAAGGAAACTAAAATCCTGCAACACGCTGACGACACAAACTTTTATTTAACAGGATATGAGTCAATAAAAGACCTCGGTAGGGCCTTAGAGCTCAATGAGCGAGCCACTGAAGCCAAGTTTAATGTAGCCAAATGCCAAAGCATGTGGCTCGGAAAAAATAAAACAAAAAATAAAAAATATTTTCTAAACTTTAACTGGAAAGAAAATACCCTAAAAAACTTGGGTATTTACTTTTCCAATAGAGACTGATTGATTAACATTAGGCGAAAGATGAAACACGGAACGAAAGCATTGCCATTATTTAAAGACAATTAAACGCTGCCAAATGTTTAACTTATCCTTTAAATGAAAAAGAATAACAATTAATAAGATACTCTTAAGTAACCTTTGGCACTTTGTTTTTACCTTGCCAAAACCCAACGATAGAGTTATCAAATATATTGATAAAATTGTTGACAACTTTCTCTGGAGCAACAGCTCAATTAAAACAAACCAAAAAGTTTCTAAACTTCCCATTGACCAAGGAGGTTTAAACATTATAAACATAGACGAAAAATTAAAATCCATCTAGCTAACTTAGGTGGCAAAAACTTATAATCACACCCTAACAGACACATGGAAAGACGCTGCGACGCATATTTTCAACAGTTACAGAAAAACTAATCAAGGAGAAAATGTTTTTATCACAACCCACTCAAGTAGTGCAATTAATACTCTCCTTGTGTTCTACCAGCAACTAACTAAAAACTGGAGTCACACTTTTAACAGAGTGTCATAAAAATATGATCATTGAGGAAATCCTCAACCATTTTTTTTATAACAATTTATTAGAGACAAAAACCACTAGACTTTAAAACCTAAAAAAGAAACAACTTTGAACCAAATATCCAAAATATCTGATCTTGCAAAAGTTTTTGTACTGGGGTTCTTGGATTACCAATAACCGATCTTAAACAAATAACATTAAAAAAAATTAAAAAACTCCATTCCACGTGTTTGGAAAACAAAAATTAAAAAGGAAGGTCAATCTTGTGACCACAACAAATCAAATTTCACCCTAAGAAACTTTATACACCCCTAAAACTGGTTTTGATTACAAATTTAAACATCAAAATATATTTACGATTTCCTTATGAAAAAGAAATACAGTTTGGGTGTAACAACCCAGTTTTCTTGGTGAAACTTTGTCTTTGAAAAGAGCATGACGGGAACCTCCTTAAAAAAATGGTCCCTCCACTTTCAAAACATATTCAAAAGAATTAATAACAACAAATCAAACGGAGCAAAATATAAAACCATTCATTTTGCGCTACCCAAAAACTCCATCTTTAAACGCAGAGGTCATGCACCTGATGACCTTTGTCCCCAATCTATGAAAGATAGCGAGACTCTATTTCACATGATATATAGTTGCGAAAAAGTACAACCTTTTATTTTTGAATTAAATCAAAAAACCTTATACTTTTTGAAAAACTCAATTTTTTCATTTTTAATTTTCGCCTTTCCTAATTACTTTTTTCTCACTTTTTCTAAAAAAAATGTTTTCTAAAAAACTTTACCAAAAAAAAAAACGCTTATTCTTAATGCGCTCCGTTTCTCGACTTGAAAAAACTTTGTAAATATTTTAATGTAATTTTTGTCAAAGAGTCAGCAAGGTAATTAGCTAACGGACTACTAAAAAATAAACTTAATACCATCATAATCATCATTACTGATGGCTATTGTGGTTTATCCTCCTCGGACCCGCAAAGACAGGTTCAGCTCACTAAAGAACTTCATTATCCGCTTCGTTAACCAAGAGTAAGTGAGTTTAAAAAGAGCAAAATAAGTCAGAGCGAAAGTCAGAAGAAGTCGAATAAGATAGCCTAGTGAACAGGTATTGCACTGGATGTTAGAATGTGTAATTAATACTATTGATAAGATTACCTAATTTATCAATTTGTATAAACGTAATCATCATTCCTAATGACCTTTGTTTATACTTATAACGTTGATCCCTATACAATGGATCGACGTTGGGTTTAGGTCGGAAAAATAACCAACTATTGCGATGTTTTTACGTAGGTTGACCCAACGTAAGTGCGCTAGCTGGATAAAGATTTGTTATTTAAAAAAATATATTCATTAAAAGAATCAACTGATTTTAAATAAATTTAAAATTAGACAATAGTAAAAACTGGGTTGTGTAATTTAAAAAAAAGATTTTCTAATTGATTGATGGGTAAATCGAAACCGTCAGAAAGACGTTTTTTTAAAATATTGTAAATTTAGCGTTTTCACTATAGTTTTTTATGTTTCAATATCAAATTATTGAACTTTCTTCAAATTTTCAGGTTTTTAACAAAATTCTTAATCGGAGTAAAATTCTCTTTCATAATTAATCATAAAATATATATATAAAATGGGGTAAAGCAACTGAAATAATTTATTTTATCAAATATTATTTAAAGGGGTGTAAGTCCTAATAAGCTGCGAATAGTCTGGAAAAAATTTTTGTTCAAAAGTTAAACTAGAATTCCTAAGATTTTTTTAAAAAATAAGAGAAAAAATAAATTTTAAAGATGTTTATTTTCTACCTATGACATTATTTATTAACTAAAAAAAGGTTTTAAAAGGAGATAAAACGAGTACATAAAAAGTAAGCATAGAAATGGTCGGTGTGGAACAGGCTTACCACAATTCGAATATTTTATGGGTCATAATAAGCCCATTATTCTAGGTTTTTAAGTCTTTTTCTACATGATTATTAAACTTTTTATAGCGATTGTAACTAAACAACACATTTCAAGCGTGTTTTCTCAGTTTTATTTAGACTAATACTTTGATAAATTCTGGTTTGCAAAGCCTTTAAAGTTTTATTCATTTGTGTTATCAATTTTTTTTTTCATAACTTTAAAATGTAGACAACATATATAGCTTTTCTTCATATATGTATAATCATATTTCTACCGCTTTCTATAAAATATTAAAGTAAGGAATGAGTATAGAAACGTTCGGCTAGGAATAGACTTATTATACGGCCGTCTTTTACGGCCCGAACAGCTAGTTATCATAACTTCAATTTTAAGTTTAATATATTATTCAATTATAATTTTTTATTTCAATTTAAAAGCTAATTATGCTTTTAGAATATTAAAACAACTATTTTGTTTTGAGTCAGCTTTATTTACGAGATCTTTTTTAAAAGTTTAGCTTTAAAATTTTTTTAATTAAAAACATATTCGAGTTACAATTTTACATTACATTCAGTTTCTATTATGGCTAGGTACGTAAAAAAGTATACATATAATCGATAGCTGATTTTTTATTTATTTATTCAGATATGATGTGATAGAAGAATTATGACATCACATATTACATGACAACCGTGGTTCTTTTCTCTATCATGATAGATATTTTTAAGACCACGGTTGACGCATTTTATCTACTAAAATCACTACTATGCAAAGAGGAAAAAAAAAAAGCAAAACGGAAGTATTTGTAATTTAATTATAAACGTAAAAATCATATATACAAAAGCCATACATATTTTGATAAGTTAAATTTTTAACGCATTTAATTTACATAACTTTTAAACAATTTGCAAAGTAAAATGTTTTTCATTTTTAATTTCTTGAAGGTTGGGAAACTAAAATGATTTATTTTTTAGTGCCCCAATGATGAAGTTGTGGTCGTTATGCATTATTTTACAACCTCATTAAATTTTATTAATGTCAAAATAGGATAAATTGCTTGATATCAAAGTATGCTTTAAGTCTGGCAACAATTAAAATACGTAATTGATGTGTTAATATTAAATAGAAAAGAAGCAGCTGTCGAACAATATAATCCAGTCGGATAGTTAAAGACATTATTAAAGTAGGTACATTGGGTTGGTGAGGCACTTATTCCTAATTGACACGGAGAACTTAAACACGGTGTGTCTTCTCCAATGTTACTACTACAGTTTGCCATCATTTGGGAAGCCAATATCATTGCGTTTAACGTGCATAAATTGTATCTACCCTTGTTTACACCTTGTTGCGAAGTGCCAGTATCTTGAGAAATATTATTGGATGGAGTTTCTTTTTTCACCACAAGAGACATAGAAGTCGAAACGAAAACGAAGAAAACACATAGAACAAATATGAACTAAAATAATGTATATATATATATATATATATATATATATATATATATATATATATATATATATATATATATATATATATATATATATATATATATATATATATATATATATATATATTAAATGATTATTATAAAGAAGACAAATGACAAAAAGTTATTTGACAAGAAAATATTATTTTCAAAAAGTTATTTGACAAGAAAATGTATACAAAAGCTGAAGATAACAAATAAAACATTTACCTTCATTATCAACAGCCGTTTATTTCAGTCTAAACTATTTCATTTTTTACTTTTCTGTAACATAAAATAAAGAAATGCGCTTTAAAAAAGTGGAATGCCGCGTTTGTTTGTTTTAAATAACCACGGTGCGTTATATACCATGCTGTTTACAAACGTCGCGCGATGACATGCTGAACTATTTGCACAACTTAATACTCTCTCAGTAGTTTCTAACGCAAGAAAAAATTTACTAAAAAAGACGCATTTTCTTTACAATGTAGTGATTTATTTTATGCTACGAGTGAAGAAGTAATGTATTGTCATGTAAATTTATTAAACATGGATACGTAGGAAGAAGATATTTATTGATACGTGAGTTTTTTAAATAGATAATACGTAAACACATTGGTTTATCATCCCTAAAGGAATTTACTTTAACAGAGCTCATAAGTGCTCTACTTTAACAGAGCTCATAAGTATTTTGCACGTCTTTATATAGGATCTCTTTATGTTAAAATTTTTTTACATTTTGTATTAAAATACTTTTTCTGACAGTAACTTATGTATTTAAAATATGTTTAAAATTCTTAAACGATTTCTTAGGAAAAAACTAACAATCAAGAATGTATCTTCCCAATCCGGAAATGTTCGATTTCAAAACATCTTAAAAGTTTTTATTACAAGAAGTGAAGAAAACAGAAATATAATTATAAAACATTTTCACAAATATTTATCAATTACTTTTGTAATTGGGTTTTAGAATTTAAAAACACTTTTTGGTTATGTATAGAAAGTACCTTCATACATAACCAAAAAGTGTTTTTATTTTTTTGTAAAATATTCTAGTTTTTTTGTGTTTTTTCCCATATGCAGTGGTGACCAAAGCGTACATAACGTTTTCTTCATTTGGTTTAGTACAGTTTTTTTTTTTATTAGAGAATTTAAAAAAAGAATGATATTAAGTAATAGTTTCCATTTATTAACTAAAGTATAGCTACAATTACTGAAAAGTTTACTAAATACAGCAAAATGTTGTTATAAAAATAGTGCTATATAAAAGTCTACATCAAAATATTATGCTAATGAAATTTGTAAATTTTCCCTTATTCTTTAATAATAATGTTACTAATATAGCGCATCTTTACGGCATAATGTTAATAAGCCTTTGACATCGCTCGACAATTATGGCATCCCAGACTTTTTGAATTTTACCCCAAAGTTCGTTAAACCAAACCTTCAAACCATAATTGCTCTAATCGATTTCTTTGCTATTTTATTTTATTATTTTATTTTTTATTTTTTGTATTTATTTAGGTGCTCCCAGAAGTCCTTGCGGTCTTATCAAAGAGCACCGCGGGAGAGCATTTAAAAGGAAGTTCACGCCTCCTTCCGTACCAATGTCGCTTGTTGGGCTAGAGCTAGCGTCGAACCTCGGACCTCTGGGTTCTGAGCCAGAACTCTAACCACTGCGCCACGGCTGCTATAAAATCTCCAAGACCGGCTTCTTGTTAACGACGACAAATGGTTGGGGCTGACACAATTACACAATACTGTGCTTTGATTTTGGTTTTTATTCCATTAGAAGTTAAAAAGGACATCCTAACAATTTGGTAACCCATATTGGTCAAAGTTTTTCTTGGCGGTGGGTATTAATATTTATCATCAGTGTTATTGTGTTTTTCAATGTTTACAATAATTTGAACCAATTTTCTAAAATACATTAGTTGACGCGAAATTTGAGAAATGTCAAGTCCTTTTCTCAGTGCGTACCGACCAATTAAGACGTCTTTTGAATGTTCAAAAGACATCTAAAACATTCAAAAGACGTTCAAAAGACGTCCAAAACGTGTATAGGACGTTAAAAAGACGTTTTTTTTACTTCCAGGCCCACTGGGTTGATAACATACTTAAAATTATTTTTCAGAACGATGTTTGTTTAGCCACATGTTCAGTTGCTACAAGAAAGTTAAATGTACACTGTAATTAGTTTTTACAATGCCTTGCTCCAGTACTCACTTTAAAATATTATTGAAAATCTCTAATGTTTAGTAATAAATGGGATTCTCCTCTAGTATGTGCTATTTCTTTAAGCAATTACGCACAGCAAAATTTGTCAATAAAAGTTTTATTGTTACACTGTCGAATTTATGTCTTAACAACAGGTGCAAGTTCCAACTTGAAAGTTACCATAAGAAATGCCATTAAATTTATATAAGTATAAACGTTGTAAAATGTAATTAGAAGAATATATTATGGGGTGTTCTATTTTTATGATCACCCCTGTGTGCAAAAAACTTAAAGGAAAAAGTTTTGATATTAAAACAATGCACAGTTAAATTTTGTTACATTTTTTTTTGTTTAAAGTGAAGATTAAACAAAAGAAGCTTAAAAGAGTAAAAAAAAACCCGAATGAATTTCAAAGTAAACGATTCTGGTAAAATAGGTAACTTACACCAAGAGAATTCATTGTACAAATAATTTGTTTTCAGACTTAAACCATCACAATTTTTTGCTAAGTATCTTTTTTTGACATAATTACAAACATATAAATGTTTGGAATTAGCTCCATGTTTAGAAGTTAAGAATCTCAAAAACACACAAAAATGTTGCATGTGTCTCTGTTCAAAATGCCCTTAAACAGCACACTTTTTTAATATAATGATGGAAATGAAGTACATTTTTTCCTAAAGGTGAAATTATAGTAGTAGTAGAGTAGTAGTAGTAGTAGTAGTAGTAGTAGTAGTAGTAGTAGTAGTAGAGTAGTAGTAGTAGTAGTAGTAGTAGTAGTAGTAGTAGTAGTAATAGTAGTAGGAGTAGTAGTAGTAGTAGTAGTAGTAGTAGTAGTAGTAGTAGTAGTAGTAGTAGTAGTAGTAGTAGTAGTAGTAGTAGTAGTAGTAGTAGTAGTAGTAGAGTAGTAGTAGTAGTAGTAGTAGTTGTAGTAGTAGTTGTAGTAGTTCTTTTGGCATGCATATTTGTTTAGTTTAGTTAAAACTAAGTTTATATCACACTTTTTTAACAATTATTCTACTATATTCTATATTCACTATTATTTTAGAATTAGCTATTTTAAACATGTGACAAGTGGTATGACACTGTATGTTTAAATAAGTTGTAAAATTAATTTTTTTATATAGTTGCTTGCGGTTTTTTTGGTCTGCATATTTAATTTAATTTATCATAGTTTTTAAAAGGTTAGAGACCTTATTTTTTGCTCCTGATAGATATTGATGTATGTGAAATGTATAAAGTCTTTCAGTTATTAGATAATGTCAAGGTAATCTTATACTTTTTGTTTAATTTACATTTTAATAAAGATATAATTTACTTGTTCCATTTAACTTTATCTTAAGAAAACTATATCAGAGATAATTAAAATAACAAAATTTAGAATATAAATTTATATATAATGAGTTATAAAAAACATTTTTTATAGAGTTATCAGTAACATTTTATTTTGGTTTTATACTAGCTATGCTATTAAGTTTCCATATTTTCCTTATTTTATTTTATATTAATCTTTAAGGAGTTGACAGCATGGTGTCCAATTAAAAGAGCGAACCTGTGTACGAGTAACAACAGTATTCAAAACCAAAACCTATTTAAATCAACCAAACCAAAACTAGCGACCAAAAACTTGGCATTGGTTTATTTTAAACATCTATTATATATATGTGTGTGTTTTATATAAATGTACTAGCTTGAGTGTAGTGTATTAAAAATATTTTTTTGACTATTTTTATTAAATATTATAAAAATTTGATTAGTTTTCAATTTTTGGTTTAAACGTTTTAATGTAGAATATCGAAATAAAATAATGCAGTTAAATAAAAATGCAAACATTAACAAATATAAGGATTATTTGGTAATGAAGTCACAATTCTGGCCTCTCTAATTTTAGATTTTAGTGATTTTAACGAAATAATCACTAAAATAACTTATCAACACATTTATTTCATAAGAATAACAACCGCGTAAAATTTGCTGCTTAATGTAATAACTCCTTAATTTTAACGGATTATTCGTTGCACTAACGAAATAAATCCGTAAATTCAACGGACTATTCCTAACGGAGTTCAATTCGTTAAAATTTTAATTCGTTAACTTAACGGATTTCCCGTTAGTGCAATAGCGACAGATACAATTCGTTGAATATAACGGATTTTTTCTTAGAGTGTATATATTTTTAGATAAATATAAATTATACCGTGGCCCATAAACTAAATCTGACTAAATAATAAACTATTTAAAACATAAAAGTAACATAAGAAATTACTTCATTTACATGCTAACTGAGGTAGATCAGCACAAATGAGTATGCATATTTAACTTTAATTTTGTTCTATATGCCGCCCAAGCATGGTAAAAACATATGCATGTATCTATATATTTTTTATATAAGTATATGTAAGTGTGTATGCATGTAAGGATTTATGTATATATGTATGTACGTATATATGTATAGTGTTATACTAAACTATGTGATGAATATTATCACACCATATATTCAAACTGGGGCTAGGTACGGCCACAGTGAGCATATTTTGATTCCACTACTGACTAGCTCTAACAAAATTGAAAGAAAAATTGATGTCAATGAAGTTTTACAAGTTAGAGTTTTTAACTAAATTAGTTAGTTAGAAAAGAACTACTAACGTAGCTAAGTAACATTTTATATAAACTATATATTTTTATATATTTCATATATTTATATATTTTATATATATATAGAAAATACAACTTGCACTGTTATATTATTTGGTAGAGTGTTGTACTTTATCACTAGTGATAAAATGAATAAAAGTTGAATTTCAGACCTGGTTTAAAGAGCAACTTAGTCTGTATTTCCTCTACAAACCTGCAACTCTCCATATGGTAGTAGAACTGCGAAAGCGCTTTCTAAAGCAAAGAATGCTAACGGACTGAGGTCGCAACACTAAAAAAAATATGATTGCCGACTGATGTCGCTAAAAAAACATGGTTAGACACTGAGAGAACAAACTTAAAAAAACGTTAAAAGCTTTACTGCGCTACTATTTAAATTTAACTAAATGATTTAATTTACAAATTTTGATAAATGGTTTAAATTACAGAAGTTTTGCAAAATATAAATTAGTA